AGAAGTAATCAATGGATGTACTAATGCAGTGATGGATGTGGTTTGGGCTTGTGGTTTGAGAGTTACACTTAGTACATAGTGAGAAAACCTTGCAACCATTCTGAAAAGTCATTGTCTGTAGATGACTTATGTAATGTTTTAAGGGGGTTTTGGTGGGAGGATGGTCTAAACCAACCGTTACGACCCGGGTTCAATTGCCGCATTGGACACTTTTTTTCTGATTTAAAAAATGCTCCAATGGCCCTAGATTCTTGCAAAATTCTGCTGGCATATTTGTAAGTGCAAAGTCAAACTGCTTTTCACCTGTGTAGACATGTGGTGCGCTTATAGTAAAAGCAGTCGCCAACTTCTACCCACCATGATTATCATGGCCTGTACCACACGTGTACTAGGGATAAGCAAATTATTTTCTTTTATTATAATCTATTATCCAAATTGTGCTTTATCTTATTCTAATGATGTAAACTTGTTGTGGTTTCTGTATTTTATTGGCTGTCTTTATCAAGATCAAATACACCAGTATATGAAATGACACTACTCCAAGTTTGGACTGATGGATGTAGCTTAGATATAAAGTTATATATACTCTCATGAACACTTAAAGAAGTGGAAAGTCTTTGATGTCACCGCCAGTTGTCTATTTTTATTTTTTTTAAGGAAACAGAGGCTATTTTGTTCACACTTGGTTATCTTGTGGCTTCAATAAAGGTCATTATGTATCAAATATCTTTCAGAGTTATTATCTGAATCCCGATATACATGCTAAAAGGTACAAATTCTTGAGTGTATAGTTAGGTGAAAAACTCATCAAAAATATTATTTTTAAACAACCTCTCCTAACAGATTAATAAACTCAGTGACACATTGCCAATCACTGAAATGAGTATCTCACCAAAAATTATAATTGTGGATGTTTGTTTGATTACATTTTCTTAGTGTTTCTATGAATTTATAGGTGTGCTAGGGATAATTTAAACTATTTCTTTACCAAATTGTTTATATTCCCTGATCTAATTCACAAATGTCATTTAGCTGTTAAAGGAGTTTTTAAAACTGAAACCTACATATGGCTCCAATTTTGTTGGCAGTGCATAATTTACCTAAGAAATATTAGGTAATTGTAATTTATTGACGAATAATTTCAAATGTTAAGTTATTTAGATAAAAATCAAATAGGTATTTGTGAATAAAATATATGTATATATCAAAGTTGCAAAAGTGTGTAAAATGTACGTTAAAAGTGATATAAATTTATGTTCTTATTTATAAATCCTAATTATAGAGATTTTCAGGTGTTCATATATTAAAATATAAGTCTGATCGTATTTTTTATAGAGTTTAAAAGGCCTATGTAATTTGATGATGATGGAAAACATGAAAGGGAAGTTTAAAAAATAGTTACCTCTCTTTTTATTTTGATGAACAGCCTTTGAAAAAAAGTAAACAACCAATTCGCTTTTAAATGGTATTTTCAAGGTCTCTTTTAAAATATATGCACACCCATTCGCAGTGCGACCAATTTCAATATGATATATTTTATATTATTTTATTTTAGAACTATTTTATTTAATGTTAAGGTATATTAAAAGGTTTATTTAAAATTAATGAAATTATAAAATATTATCTATTAACGCCCACCAAAATTTGATAGCAAGGCATTTAAATATATAACATCTTTAGCTGATGAATAGGGTTCAATTTCAAATGTTTATTTGATATAAATTAGATATCCAACCTTTTTCGCAACATTCAAGAGTGTTTTAATTTTCTATATTAATATGTTGACGACTAACGTAATTTTAAAGATTTTCTTAAAATTCGGCAACACTGTAGTTTGACAACTAAAAATATTAGCTTTATTCCTCTTTTATTAATTATATTGTAAAAAATACAAAAATTACGTACATCAAAAATTGGAATTAATAAAAAAACCGAAAAAACTATTGAATTAGCTTATAATTAACATTTTGGCTGAGTTGGAACTATAAAAGTATATTTTAAGATGAATGTAAGAATGTCCTCCATGTTTTCTCCTCAATATAGAATTAAAAAGTTATACTCTTCATTTTATATATAAAATAGTAAACAATTTAATTTTATTTTTGGTAAATTTATTAATATTTTATAAATATATTGTAAAGATATTATAATTTATAAATTGTGGCCATATAAAAGAGGTAGGGTCATTTAAACTATTGTTTACGTGTTGTATTTTTTTAAATAAATAAAATCAAGTATGCTTAGAAATCTACCCATATAATAAAGATAGGTGTAAATAGATATTAATAAATACTTTTATAAACGTTAATCGTTTTTTAAAAAATAGTTTATATATTATATAATATAGTAAAAACATGTATATACAAAATATAAATAATTTAATTAATTTTATGGATTATGTAAAAGACGAAATATATAAAAATATTTAATATAAATAAAAGCATTCTATAATAATTATAAAACAAAAGAGGATATATAATTTTAGATAATGTTGATACCTTTTATTATATTTGTTTAACCAAAAGTTTTATTGAAGCCCTTCCTTCTATATATATGTTTCCCATCCTTTGCAATGATCTTAATATATTTATAGGTGATATACACATTTCTGCGGACCACTGATAGCAAAATTGCATTGAGTATATCAATTGGTTAAATTAGGCTGATTAAAAAATGTAACTATATTTGCTTTACAGCCAGTAGGCCTCTATGCACATAATAATAATACAATAATTGATGGTTCACTAAGTAACTCACCACTGATGAGCCATGCCCTTTTCAATTTTTAATCATTCCAGGATAAAAGCTCTAGAAACAATTTTAATTATATACCTAAGATGTATTTCTCTCTTTTTATTTATTTATGCTTATGAGGTGATACAGCAACGTATTTACAATTAGAGAGGAGACAAAATGAATTAAATCTAGAAAAAAAGAAGTGAGGACATATCGGGCAATTTCTCTCTTTAATTCTGCATTAGAACAATGCATTAGATTTATTGTCCAACCCCACCAGCGAGTGCAAGTAAGCAAACGGGGCTCTGGCACATTTGTAAGTGCAAAGTTGAACTGCTTTTCACATGTGGTGCACTTACAGTAAAAGCAGTCGCCTACTTCTACCAACCATGTTTACCATGATCTGTACCTCGTGTACCAGGGATAAGAAAAAAAAAGAAATAGGTTTATCATCCTAGTGAAAAACTACTAGTGTTGATGTGGAATTAGCCGCAATACCAGTTTTGGCAAATTCACTTTAGAATAGAGCAATTTGGTTGGTCAAAACCCAGGTATAGACTGGTAAAGCCTTTTGTTCAAAACTAGCTAACATATGCCAAAACTGGCATGTTCATTGATTTTAATTTGAGTACTCTATGCAAAGACTTTCTTTTAATGCATTGTGTAAATACATTTAATAAACCCATTTTGCTGCATGATAAGTTACAATTTGAATCATAGATTAGAAACATAAGGTAATCATACCGCATCCTAACTGCTAAGCACAGTTGGTACATCCTAGGAGTAGTGGCCACCCAGACCTTTCGGTCCACAAGCCTGCATGCGAAGCATGCACCTATGCTGCTAATATGGCCACCTTACCAAAAGGAATGATGGAATGCAGGAATGAATGATCCATGCACTGTTGCTAGACTCTTGGAATGGGTATTTTAGATGAACTATGTACATAAGCTTTGAGGAGAGACAGTAGAATTACTGTCTTAATCTACTCCTAATTACATGTAAAATCAAAGGTTCCTGTGGTTCAAAGCATCCACCTCATTATATTAAATTTTTTTTATTGCCATTCTAGTTTAAAAATGGTAACGGTTTAACAAGACCCAAAATTAAAAAAATAGCTCTGGATACTTTATTGGTTTTCATATGTGTTTATTGTCTTGTTGCCCGCCTCAAGTTTTAGGAAGAAGGTTCCAAGAAGAGGGATAAGATTAGATGTGATATAAGGTTGGGACAGCTGGTTCAGCCAGTCTAATCAATCTGTTTAGTTTTGATGCCTTCATTTGTGGCTTTTATACAGTAGAACCTCCAAGAGAAGACACTCATGCTAGAGGACACCTCTCTATAAAGGACAGTTTTCATCGCCAAAATTACCATTTTTACTATTTAACAACTCTCCGGTAAGAGGACACCTCTCCCTAAAGGACACTTTGGCTCTGCAACTAGGTGTTGTCCTTTACAGGGAGGTTCTATTATATATATTTTTATAGCATTTCCTCAGATAGGATTTGAATAGAGGAGAGAATGTATGTACCTTTTTTTTTTCTTTCTCATTTCCTAAAGAGCCGTATTTAAAAGAATATTTAGTCATAAACACCTCTTTAGTTCAACATCCCTAATTGAAATAAGAGGGTCCACATTTGTATTATAGTTGATTCAAGTTTTTTTTTTTGCTTATTCCTAGTACACGTGGTACAGGCCATGATAATCATGGTGGGTAGTTAGCGACTGCTTTTTACAGTAAGCGCACCACATGTCTACACATGTGAAAAGCAGTTCGACTTTGCACTTACAAAGTTGATTCAAGTAAAAGTTGGTAGTTTGGTCAGGAGTTGAAAAATAGTTTGACTGAATTGAAGTAGTTATATTCGATGTTCTTTTTATATGTGTTAATGCTGAAGTTGCATATAGATAATATTTTTGCAAGGTGGTAACCTATTTCTCTTCAAGTAGATTATAATACAAGAAAATAAGACCTAATCCATTAATTTTCTTCACCTCATAGGAAGAATAACTTCTTAGGTCCATTGAAGTCTATCAAAAATGATAAAGCACAATTTGGATTATAGATTATAATACAAGAAAATAAGACCTAATCCTCTTCAAGTAGATAGAAATTTTCCTATTCTTAGACCCCACTATCTAAAGGTGGTCTGCAAGAGTCTTGATGCTAAAAATAAGTCTCGCTTCTTTAATTCAACACCCCCAAGGGATCAAAATTTTCCGTTTAATTAAAGTCGGTATACACCAGGTAATAAGACCAAATCTCCCACGTTGTCTAGTGGTTAGGTTAACTGGCTCTCACCCAGGAGGCCCAAGTTCAATTCCTGGTGTGGGATTTTTTTTTTTGGTCTTCTTCTTTCTTTCTTATCTCCACACAATCATATTATGGTATCAAGCTTGAGACTTTTGATGGTGTCTGCTGGGGATGAGTAGAGCTCATCAATGGATGAGTCAATACAGTCAAAAATGTGTTTTAGGGTTGCAGGTTGAGAATTGCATTTAGTACATAGTGGGAAAACCTTGCAACCATTCTGGAAAGTCATTGTCTGTAGATGACCAGACTTAAGGTCTTATTAGCTTGTGTTTATAATCTATAATTCAAATTGTGACTCATCATTAAAGTTGGTATGTAGAATTACATTTGATTAAAGTAAATTGTATGTTTGGCAAGTGAAAATTTTGTTGAATTAAAGTAAATGTTGGACTATAGTCAGTTGAATAAAAGAAGTTATACGCTGATAATGCACAATTTGGATTATTCTATATACAGTTACAAGCGTCATGCATCGTCAATTCTTCATCTCTGTCACCGTTTGCTTTTTTTTTTTGGAATGGCGCTCTCCTATTGGTTGGCTACGATCGCGCCACCTTTGCCCCCCCATCATGCCTCCCCCACTCGCTTTTTCGTTTTTGTAACTATTGTGTTGGAGCGGGTCGCTCCCTAAATAAATGCATATATTAGTTAATAACTAAATGGAATCCTCTCTTTCTTTTTCCCAGTATGAGACGCCTACGGAAGCCAACAGTACATAGACAGATAAAGCACATAGGCTATAGTTATTAACTAATATATGCATTTATTTAAGGCGCCAATTTATAATTGTAGCAAATAGTATTTGAATAAAAACATTCAATCAGGTAAAACACGGGCGTTGCCCGGGTCATTCGGCTAGTAGATTATAAATACAAGGTAATAAATCCAAATGATTAAATAAATAAATAGTGTGTACATGTGACATACTATTTATTTGAATTTAGTCTTATTACCATTATTATAATTTTCTGTCTGAAGTATATTTTATTTTAATGAATTGTTAGCAAGTTGTTTTACTGTGGTGTTGTGTATCCATGAGAGATATCTGCCTTCTGAAAATTTGCTGAGAAGGTGATGTGGCCAGGGATCAGATGAGTGATGCCTCCCACCAACCCTAATGAGGACAAGAACCCATTTTCCCCCAAGAGGAAATGGAAGAAGCACAAGCAGAATGCTGGCAGCAAGGGAGGTAAGGAACTGTTGTGTACTGCTGCTACTGTACTATGGCTGACCTGTGCTGTGACAGAATCCCCGGACAACTCGTGTCCCATCTGTCTGGGAAGCCTGCAGGACCAGGATATAGCCACCCCAGAGTGCTGTGATCACAGCTTCTGTCTGATCTGCATTAAGGAATGGGCCTCGGTGAGCTGCCACTTTAGTGTTCTGGAGTAGTATGGTACCATTTGGCTGTCAAGTTGGCCAACATCAAAATTGACCTTTTTTTTTTACTGCTTATCCTTAGTACACATAGTACAGGCCATGATAATCATGGTGGGTAGAAGTAGGCGACTGCTTTTACCGTAAGTGCACCACGTGTCTACACATGTGAAAAGCAGAAAATTGCCTTTTAAAACTATAAACTAGACAATTTTTTTTTTTTTTAAAGGTACATAATTTCGATTATAGATTAGAACTACAAGGTAATAAGACAAATCCAAATAAATAGTGTGTGAGGTTTCTGTGGTGTCTTATCCAATGCTGTGTGCTGTGACCACAGTTTCTGTCTGATCTGCATCAAGGAATGGGCCTCGGTGAGCTGCTACTCTAGTGTTCTGGTGTAGTACGGTACAATTTGGTTTCTAGGCTGTTAGCCAACATCAAAATTGCCTTTTAAAGCGATAAGCTAGACAATTTTTTTTTTTTTTTGACAATTTGATAAGGTACACAATTTGGATTATAGATTAGAACTACAAGATAATAAGACCAAATCCAAATAAATAGTGTGTGAGGTTTCAATAACAGCATTGTTATCGAAACATCACCCACTATTAATTTATTTAGATTTAGTCTTATTACTTTGCACTTTTTGACAATTTAAGCAATTTTATTGATTATTCTAATTAATTGTTAAAGAACACAAGGTAATAAGACCAAATCCAAATAAATAAATAGTGTGTGATGTTTCGGTAACAGCGTTGTTACCATCTTCAGACAAAAGTACTGAATGGTTAGCATAACTGCCTTTCAAGCAGTTGACCCGGGTTTGATTCCCGGCCGTCGCATTTAACATGTACACAATTTGGATTATAGAATAGTAAGGTAATATGACAAATTCAAAATAAATTATGTTTCAGTAACAGTATTGTTACCATCATCAAACAACATGAGAAAAAATATCGCAGTATGCTTTTAAATAGTTTCAAATGTTATCAAGTTTTTTTCAATAATAATATTTTAACCCTTAACTGGACACAGGTGGATTTTTCTTACATAACTGGACGGGTTGGGTAGATTCAACCCACTTATGTAACTTTGATATAAGCGCTAAATAATGATTGAAATCAATATTTTAAAAAATATTTTATTAATATATAGTTAATATACAGATTTTGACTTAAAAATTCTGAATATAATCTATTTACAGTTTTCAAAAATTATAAAGAAATGTTATTGCAAACACGTAGTTGACATACAGAGCAAAGGATTTTTATTTTTTACTGCACTTTTTGATGGACATTTGTAGCACCTTTATGGAGTATCAGATTGTTGTGGCATCGTAGATTCACTTGGTTTACTTGAACCATCATTCTTCTTGAATTGTCGTCTGTAATTCCATTGGGAGAGAATTGGCAATCAGTCAATGCTCTCCCAAGATCAACAATAAAATGACTCCTTTCTTTTTTACCTTTTTTATCAATCTGATTACCGATTTTCTTTTTTTTTTTTGGAACATAGGAGACTAAAGTGGTTGTTCCAGAGAAACCAAAAATAGAAGTTCCTGATTCTCTATTAGGGTACGGTTGAAATTGTGGTAAATCTAAGGTTTGTTCTTTCTCATCGTTCCTAAATATGTAAGGCCATGTTCTTTTAACTTATCAACTAATTCTACTGAAGTGAATCAATAGTCTGCTGGAATATTTCTTCCAAAGTGATCGACTAATCTCTAAAACATATATATTTTCGGTTGACAGGGATAGTTCTCTCTGTTGACTTGATTGATTATTCTACTTATCCAAAGAAAGAAGTGTTATTTTATAAAAGGAAGCTAAAAATAGCGGAAGATAGAGACTCAAGTATGAGCCAAGAGCTAACACTGACACGAAAAAGTCTCACGCTTCTGGACGGGCTGGGCGGATTTCGCCCCCACATGCAAATTTAACCCTCCTCCCAAAACTGATATTTATAAACGATGGATGGAAAATGTATGTATCATTGTAAAATTAGAATACATGAAAGCTGGTAGCTCTAGGTAAACGAAAAATATATTTTTTTCTTATACAGTAGAACTTGGATAATTCGAACTTCTTTAATTCGAAAACCTCTTTAATTCGAATATTTATCTTGGTCCCTAGAATTTCCTATATAAATAATGATATATATAAAAAATATATATTTTTTAATATGTATATAGTATATATATACAATTATTGCACATAATCTAAATATACGGTAAAAATGTAAATTTACAGCAACTAATGTTATTCTTAATAAAGGAATTGATCGAAATTGTGAGATTTTTATTGTTTTAAGCCTTTTTATTCAAAACATCTTTAATTCGAATTTTTGGATAATTTGAATTTTTTTTATGGTCCCTTGGGGTTCGAATTATCCAAGTTCGACTATATTAAATTTATGCATGGGCAGAATCTACCCAACCCGTCCAGTTAAGGTTCTTATAAAACTATTTTCTTCTTATCTGCTATATCTTGTTTACACACTTGATAACAGTACTAACTATTTTAAAGCATGACATTATATTTTTTCATCATTCAGTCTTTTACATAATGACACTGTTGCCAAAACATCACATACTTTTTATTTGTTTATTTATGTTCTCCTGTAGAAGGACAGAAAGCTTGAGACTGTTTTAATAAAATGAAAAGGAACTCATCTCCACACAAGGTAATAAGACCAAATAAATAAATAGTGTGTGATGTTTCGGTAACAACGCTATTACCGAAATGTCACACACTATTTATATATTTGGATTTGGTCTTATTACCTTTGTGTTTATAATCTATAAATCCAAATTGTGCCTTATCAAACTTATCTCCAGAAAGCTGTTTAATTTATGTACAGGAGATTTTTTTTTTAAAATCATTTGATCTAGTAGATGTGCTAGCAATTGGAAAATTTCCATCTAAACAAAAGCTAGTAGCACTTACAAAAACCATGAAATTAAGCAGAAAATTCCACCAGGCTGGATGAGTAACACCAACCCTCCATTCTATAAATAGATCTGCTGCAAGTGTTTCTGCTGATTTACAAGCTGTTTGTGACATGGGGTCGCAGACAGTCTGTTCTGTCAGGCTGCAAAAGGTTAATATGGTACCTACCTACTCCATAAATCTCCAATGGTGCACTTAGAGTAAAAGCAGTCGCTAACTACCCACCATGATTATCATGGCCTGTACCACATGTACTAGGGATAAGCAAAAAATAAATAAATCTCCAATTTTGGTAAAACACCAAAATTCTAAGAAAAATATTTCAGGTTGTCTTAAAAAAAACTATTTTCTTATCTGCTATTTTGTTTACACATTTGATAATAGTAACTATTTAAGAACTTGCTGTGATATTTTTTCTCATTTATTCTTTTGTCTGATGATGGTAACAACCCTGTTGCAGAAATGTCACACACTTAATTTATTTGAATTAGGTCTTATTTTCTTGTATCTATTTATTATAATAATTCATTTTTAATTAAAAGTATTATCCTATGTTATATTTTATTTATTTATAAATTTAATCACCATCTATCGATAAAATTTACAGGCAAAGTGTTTCTTTTCAATTAATATTATCTCTATAGACCTTACTGCAATGATAAGTTATTGAATGAGAAGGCTGAGAGCCAAGCCCTTCTCATTCAATAACTTATATCATTGCAGCAAGGTCTGTAGAAATAATATTTGATGATATTATTGAAAAGAAACACTTTGCCAGTAAATTTATTTGTTACAAACTTTTTTTTAGGAATATAGAAGACACAAATACCAGAATCTCTCTCAGCTTGTCAAAAAAAAAACTCCAAAAGGAACAATGTCTTCTTATTCTTCTTTCTTATCTTCACTCAATCATATTAAGGTATCAAGCTTGTAAAGCTTGAGACTTTTGATGGTGTCTGCCGGGGATGAGTAGAACTCATCAATGGATGAGTCAATACAGTCAATAATGTGTTTTGGGGTTGCAGGTTGAGAATTGCACTTAGTACATAGTGGCAAAACCTTGCAACCATTCTGGAAAGTCATTGTCCGTAGATGACCAGACTTAAGTCTGGAAATCAAAGACTGTTGTTCTCTTGGGAGGACAGAACCGGTGCTTGTCCCTCCTGCTCTGTACCAGTCATGTGCAGCATTAGATTTCCATTCCTGCATGCATTGGGTTTTGATGGTACGGAGGCGGTCTCTTTCGTCTAGTTGGGTGGTAGATTCTCTGGCTTCAGGTAGGCCAAGAGCTCCAGCCTTTGCCAGATAGTCTGCCAGCTCATTTCCAGGAATTCCAACGTGAGCTGGAAGCCATTGAACTGTGACAGAGCTGTTGGCTAGGAGTCGGTTTACAGACTTAGCAATGCTCTTGAGGAGCGGTTCTTAACTGGAGAAGCAGCTTTGAAGGGTATAAATGGCTGCTCTTGAGTCGGAGTAGATTATTATATTGCTTGGCATGTTGATGTCTTTTAGAGCTGTATCTATTGCAGAGAGTTCCAATTTATAAACTGAAAGGTGTCTAGGGTGGGAGAGGGAGATTTTTTCCAGGATCTTATCTTTGTAGATAGCAATTCCACTGCCAGACAGTCCAGTGTGTAATTCTGACTGAGTTTCATGTTTGGGGGATTGTCTGGTAGATGAGGGAAACAGATGAGTTTGTTGCGAGTTCTGTGTGGGGGATAGGAAGTTCTGTGTTAAAGATTAGAGTTGTGAGCCAGGTTGAGAGGAGTGGGGTGTTTTAATCTTTGATTTGGTACCCAATTTCTAATAAATTTTCCTGTAATATGTTCTTTTGGAGAGTTAATCGGGAACAATGTGACGCTGTATATCCTATAAACAAATAACATATCCCACCCATGCTAGTATGTCTTCCTTGTTCTAATCCTAATTTGACGATGATGACAGAAAGTGAAGACATGCCCAGTTGATCGTCTTCCCTTCAGTCTGCTTCTAGTACGGAAGGGTAACCAGGCTTCCATTAGTACTGTGGTAAGTCCATCACTGCTGACCTTCATTCATCACATGATATCATGGGGGTTGTGTTTACCTTGGTGGATGATATATTACTTCTTTGAGGCATCCTAAGTCAAATCTTGCACATCCTAAGTCAAATATTGCAGCCTTAAAATAATTTGTAACGCCTTGCCAAATGTTTTAATTATTGTTTGCTTCTGACGAGGACAAAAGTTTTTTGTCAAAATGTTGAGGTAATAAAAAGATTTACTGGCCGAAGTATCTTTAATTTAAAGAACTATGAAGGCTGGCCAGGCAACCTCTATCTTTACGATGAGTCAAATCTATCCATCCACCTTTTTCTCTTTATTTGGACAAGTAATTCTTAACTATGTGGGATGGTTGTGTGCGTGTTGGTGTGGCTTGTGGAAAGGCCGCTGATAAGATTATAATTATTTTTATAAAATAAAATTATTTATTTAAAGCCAGAAATGTAAAGAGAAAAGAAGTAACAAGCATTCGAAGCAAGCCTTGTTGTTTACGACGTGAGTGACCAGAGTCCCGGATGACGCCTGTGCATGCGTAGTGTGGTGTTCTCCCAGCTTGCGCTTGCTGTGGCGTAGTGAGGTCGCCACTCTACTGCCCGAATGTTTATTGAAGCTTTGTCCGCGCTTGCTGAAGCAAAGTGTGGTCGCCACAACTATATTGTCACGGTAGGGATGTCAAGGAGGCAGTCAATTTAAGACAAACAAATGTTTATTAATAACTTGTTACACAGCTTTAGGAAACTATCAACAGGTATGTATGAAGCAGCAATGTGGCCAATTCAGTGATGATTAATTTCTATAATCAGCAATGTGAAAAGCACAATTTGAATTATAGATTAGAAACACAAGGTAA